CTAACACTACTCACTTTTAAGTCCCTTATCTAATAAAATCTATGCTTACACCTACTTTAGTAAATTCCCATGCGGCTATTTTAAAGTCCACATTTGTCATCCTTTCCATGTATTAAAATGCCAGCCTCCATTTTTTTTTTACAAACTCTTCATTATTTCCTCCCCAGATACCATTAGATAACTGGGCCATTTGAATATAGCATAGTAACTTTTCTCTCAAATCCTTTTTTGACAGTTCTTTTTCACTTTTCCATGATTTTGCTATTGTCAGTCTGGCTGCAACAAAGCTATATTGACAAATTTCCTCATCTTTATTCATTCTCTCCCTAAATGGTCTTCTTTTGGACAATCAAATCAAACTGGCAAAGCTGGGCACCGTGCAAGCTCCTATCTCTGGCAAAAACTTTCAGACACAGCAGCCAATCTACTTCAAAATAAGCACATTTAAAAAACAACAACAAAACTTTGACCAGAGCTTTCCAAACTGTCTGTTGTAACACATTGGTATGCCACTAATGTGTTGCAATATATAGGTGTGCCATACAAACATAACAAGAAATGACAAAACATCTTGGAAATACATGTAATTATCTTACAAATCATATATTTTTAAATATATAAATGAAAGGTTTTAATGACGTATGTTGTGTCCCCATACATCTTATAAGGGGTTGGTTTAGCCTCCAATTTGCTAGGAAAAGCAAATTACTGTGCTGTATGATGCATGTCTAAAAAATGTGTCACCAACATGAAATGATTGGAAAGTTTTGCCCTAGACCATGACAATGTCTTGTATACTATAGTATGGCATTATGAACATGCTATTGGGAATTGGGAGGTGACTTGTGAGTAAAATTTTGGTTTATGTATGTAAGGCATTGAAATTTGCTATTATTTTTGTGTAAACCGCTTTGAGTCTCCCCCCCCCCCACAACCCAGGGTGAGAAAAGCAGTATATAAATATTGTAAACAAATGGATAATACTAATAAAGACACTGGAATGTAATCAGACTCCAAGAGATGCCACAAACCTGTCTGAATTATGTTACATTAATAATTTTTCATATTTTAAATAGTTGCAACTTGTTTATTACTCACATTATGATTATGTCTTTGCAAACAAACACGGGCATCCCTTTGATTTAAATCATTTATTTATACTGGCCTTTTCCTTTGGTGATTAAATGCATCTGGTTTAAATGAATCCATCAAAATAAAGGGCGGTGGGCTGAATTTCCACTGTACACTTCAACTTGTATGTACATATTGAAGTCATAATTTGTAGTCACAACGTTGGTGGCATTTTAAAAATGAAAAACTCTTTACTACTAAAAATCCACTATATGCCAAATGTCTTTTAAAATCATGTTTTAAAAGATGTGAAATGTGAGCATCCTGATGACAGGAATACAAAGTGGATTTCAAAAATTAATGTGAAAAAGTCTGCAAACCAGAACAAGCATCCAGAGGTCACACATTCAACCATTAAAAAACGTAACGGCAATACTGACAAATAAAAAAAAATGAATTTCACGGAACCACATGAGACATATTATGATCTAAATTTTGTGGACTAGATTCTACTTTATCACTTGCCACTGAAGTATCTCTGGATAAGAGGTAGGTACCTCAAAGCACATCTACACTTTAGAATTAATGCAGTTTGACAACACTTTAAATGCAATGGCTGAATGCTAGGGAATTCTGGAGTTGTCATTTGGTTGGCACCGGCAGCATTTGACAAAGAAGGCTAAAGACCTTGCAGAACTACAACTCCCAAGATTCCATAACACTGACCTACAGCACTTAAAATGGTGTTAAGCTGCATTCATTCAGCAGTCTATATGTACCCACAGTTTCCTACCCCACTGTATGCTCAACTGTTTGGATATAGAGGTCTTGAATTAAACACAATTATCTTCTGATTGCTCCATCTAAACTCAACAAAGACCAGTCTAGATGTGACATCTGTAGCCACTCTCCTTCGCTACCTGATTAGAGGAACTAGTAGAAGCTTCCAGATACTAGTGTTAAATCGGACATAGCTAATCCTGGCTCTTCAAGACTCAATAGGCTCCTCCTTCAAGCAACCCTCCTCACCTATTTCCCTCTTCTAAGCATCAAGTAGATTACAAGAACTCCGCAGGGGAAAGGCATATGGCAGGCCAATGAATTGTGAGATACCAGCACTGCAGCATCTCTTCAGCCCCTCCCTGTTTAATCAAGGGAAAAAGCGAATATAAAAATCTCTGTAATCCTGCCACACGTGGACACAACAAAGGAGTGCGGTGGAGCATTGGCTTCCCTGATGCCCCTTCACAGATGCCATGAGTGAGAGGGAGACAGACATGACAGATGGAACTGGAAACAGAGAGTAGTAACAACATATACTTTGGTGTGGGCAGAATGTGTCCCAAACAATGAACCTCCATCACTCTCTGAGCAGACGTCAGATCTTCTTTTCTTTTTTTAAAATATAGAGCATCCTAGGGTTGTAAGCACACAGATCTGGGGAGTAAAGTTAATGTAATTCAGAAGAAACCTTATCAGGTGGCACCACTGCAATCCTTAGGCTGCAGTCCCAAATGCAGTTCCTCCAGAACAAACACTTCTGTCACTGAGGTTGCCCTATAATCTAGTTTCAGGATATGTTTTAACTTCATTGAACGGGATTATATCAATCTACACTGCTCTATAATCCAGATCAATGTAGTTAATCCACATTCTGAAACTTACAGGACAGTGTAGATCCTGCCTGAGATAGACTTCTGAGAAAACATGATTAACCTTGGGGGGAAAGCCCCCACATTTCCACTGGTATCACTTGGCTATGTATTAAGCCAGAGAACTGCACAGATCTTCTTTTCTAGGGCTGGGAAAGAACTGAAGTTAGGAGGGCAGTGGACACCAAACCTGACCCCCTGAACTTAAAAGCAGAGGATATTGTTATTCCTCTCCAACTTCTCAACTAGATCTGTATGCCTGCAAGTCATCTTTGACCCTATAGCAAACTAAGGTTTATCCAGAGAGGAATTTGCCCTTTGCCTTCCTCTGAGGCTGAGAGAGTGTCACTTGACTTGCCCAGGATCATCCACTGTGGTGGGAATTTGAACATTGGTCCTCAGACTCAAAGGGTGCATCTATCTCAGGCAAGGGCAAACTTTCTATGGCATCTTGGGAGTTGTAGTTTTAAAAAGTTCTTGTCTTTCTCTGTCAAAGAGTGCTGGAGCGTCACCAAACTTCAGCCGATGGGAATTGAAGCCCAAAACACCTGGAGGGCCAAAGTCTGTCCATGCCTGATCTTGTACCATGGTCTGCAATTTGACACCACTTGAACTACCATGGCTCAATGCTATGGGATCATTGGAGTTGTAGTTTGGTGAAGCTCCAGCACTCTTTGGCAGAGAAAGCCAAGAACCTTTTAAAACTACAACTCCCAGGATGCTATAGCATTGAGCCGTGGCAGTTCAAGGGGTACTAAATAACATTCACGCTAAAGTGTAAAATGAACCCACAGTCCAAAACCCAACCTACGCCAAGATGCTGAGTCCCCTCAGATAGATTAGACATTCTATAACGATCTGGAGAACAAGCCCTATGAGGAGCAGCTTAAAGAACAGGGCATGTTTAGCCTGCTGAAGAGAAGGCTCAGAGAAGACATGATGGCCATGTATAAATATGTGAGAGGAAGTCATGGGGGGAGGGAGCAAAGTTGTTTTCTGCTGCCTTGGAAACTAGGAATACTTCAAACTACAGGAAAGGAGATTCCACCTGAACATTAGGAAGAACTTTCTGACTGTGAGAGGTGTTCAGCAGTGGAACTCTCTGCCCCGGAGTGTGGTGGAGGCTCTTCTTTGGAAGCTTTTAAACAGAGGCTGGATGGCCATCTGTCAGGGGTGCTTTGAATGCAATATTCCTGCTTCTTGGCAGGGGGTTGGACTGGATGGCCCATGAGGTCTCTTTTCAACTCTTTACTTCTATATCAATGAATGTTGAATTATTGAACAACAGTAATATTGACTGATAAACAACTTTTCTCTTTTGATTGAGGCCCAAGCTCATACCTCACAAATAGAATCAATGAGTTGGAAGGGGCCACAAGGGCCATCTGGTCCAACTTAATTCTGCCATGAGAGAACACACAATCAAAGCACTCTCGACAGATGGCCATCCAGCCTCAGTTTTAAAGCCTCCATACATGGCTATCATATGTCCACTTTCATCCATTTTTTCTCAGAGCTAAACATCCCCAGCTCCCTCAGCCGCTCCTTATAGGGTTGTCGTGGAGGGCATCCCAGACCCCTGCCTTCAAGCTGATCTGACCTGCCGCAGGGAGTTCCACAGTTCCTGAACTCCAAGTTGGGTCAAAACTGATGAAATGTGCCCCAGCAGCAGCCTCAACTAGGGACTCTTTGCAGCTGTGTGCTCTCTCCTTTCACTCCTTTTCCCAGCCCAAAGGTTTGGCTTCCAGATCTTTGATCCTCCAAATAGCAGCAATCAGCCATGCTTTGCAGCTACAAGGCCATTCAATGCAATCAAGGGGGCCAGATGCCTCAAGCAGATAAAAGTTCTTTCTCCCACCCTGGACACTCCACAGATATATATAAACTTCATTTGCCTAGTTTCCAACAGACCTCACAACCTCGGAGGATACCTGACATAGATGTGAGCGAAACGTCAGGAGAGAATGCTTCTGGAACATGGCACACATACCAACCTTTTGATCATTTTGGTCACCCTTCTCTGGACACCTTCCGCCTTGTCAATATTGTGGGGCCCAGTAATATTCCAGAAGTCTGACCAAAGCAGAATAGAGTGGGACTATATGACTACTGATGCTGCCTGGAATCGCATTGGCCTTTTGTGCTGCAGAATCACACTCAGGGCTATCTCCCAGCACACAAATTTACCCCATGGCTGCTTCAACACAGCCCCATCTCTAGGCCCGCGGCCTGCAAAGCCCCGCCAGCCCTCCCCCTGGGTCCCTCCCAGCCACTCACGGGGTGCAGCGGTCGCTGAACTCGTTAGCCACCGTCTCGATGCCTCCGGCCCTGGCCACCGCGATGTAGCAGCTCTGGGAGCCCAGATCGAAGCCCACCACCGCCATGGCCGCCCTGCGCGGAACCCGCCTCCCGCAGCCCCGAGGCTTCAATATGACAATAGAGCGAAGTTTCCAGAAACTGCGACAGCCCGTCGCCGGCTCCACGTGCGGCTTCCGCTTCCGCCTTCTCGGGCGTTCTGGAACGCTCCTGCCCAATGGGGAGGCCGGGCGTCCGATGACGTCACCCGTTGCTGGGGCAACGGCGGACGCCTCGCTCCCCCAAGCCTCCGAGAGCTTTGATTGACGCAGGAAAGAGGCGGGACATGAGAAAGAGAAAGAGAGCATGCGCAGTTTTCCAGGCGAGGAAGACAGAAAGGAAGCTCTTCCACACAGGCCTCTTCCACACAGTTGAATAAAATCCCACATTATGTGCTTTGCACTGGAATATATGGCGGTGTGGACTCATATAACCCAGTTCAAAGCAGATATTGTGGGATTTTCTGCCTTGACATTCTGGGGGCCCTTCCAGACATTAATATCCCAGGTTATAACTAAACTGGGTTATATGAGGCCCCACTGTCAGATTATTATTATTATTATTATTATTATTATTATTATTATTATTATTATTATTAACTTTATTTGTACCCCGCTAGCATCTCCCGAAGGACTCGATGCGGCTTACAAAGGCCAAGGCCTCAAAACACACAATATAACACAACACCTAAAGCAAATTAAAAAACAGTTAAAGCAATATTAACAACAAGCAATAAACAATACACCAAGACACAATAAAACTGGGCCGGGCCAGAGTAATGGGTACAGGATTAAAACAGATAATCTGCTATAAACAGAAAACCTGGGATCAGATCCTGGGATATATATAGGGCCTGTCGGGAAGGACCCCCAGAATGTCAATAAAGAAAATCTCACAATATCTGCTTTGAACTGGGTTATATGAGTCCACACAGCCATATATTCCAATTCAAAGCAGGTATTGTAAGATTTTCTGCTTTGATAATCTGGGTTATATGGTTGTGTAGAAGGGTCCAGAGATAGTCCATGGCATAGATCAGGGGTCCTCAAACTTTTTAAACAGAGGGCCAAGTCATGGTCCCTCAAACTGTTGGGAGGGCCGGATTATAATTTGAAAAAAACATGAATGAATTCCTCTGTACACGGCACATATCTTATTTATAGTGCAAAAGACACTTAAAAACAATACAATGATTAAAATGAAGAACAATTTTAACAAATATAAACTTATTAGTATTTCAATGGGAAGTGTGGGCCTACTTTTGGCTGATGAGATAGGATTGTTGTTGTTGTGTGCTTTCAAGTCATTTCAGACTTAGGTTGACCCTGAGCGAGGGCCGGGTAAATGACCTTGGAGGGCCACATCAGGCCCCCGGGCCTTAGTTTGAGGACCCCTGGCATAGATGGTTATAGAAGGGTGTGTTGTGGCTTTATAAGCCTGAAACTGAAATCCTGCTGCTTTTTGTGCTGTTGGTAACCTTGGCCTTAATTTGAGCTCATGCTCTGTCCCAGAAAATGCAGAAATTAGAGAGAATCTTCAATTACTTTTAATGACTTGACAGCTACCAGCCCCTTCTACACAGGATATCAGCCCCTTCTACACAGCCCTATATCCCAGAATATCAAGGCAGAAAATCCCACAATATCTGCTTTGAACTGGGTTATATGAGTCCACACTACTGTATATTCCACTTCAAAGTAGATAATGTGGGATAATGTGTGGAAAGGGCCCGAGTAACAAAAACCTCTTTGAGTCCCCTTAGGGAGAGATAAAGTGGGGTATAAATAAATAAATAAATAAATATAATAATAATGATGCCTGTTACCATGTATAGCAATTGTAAAGAAATAGTATTACCAAGACCAAATTTGAATTGTTAGGACCCTTTCACAGTCATATAGCCCAGGGCCCTTTCACATAGCCCTATATCCCAGAATATCAAGACAGGAAATCCCACAGTATCTGAGTGTGGACTCAGATAACCCAGTTCAAAGCAGATATTGTGGGATTTTCTGCTTGATATTCTGGGATACAGGGTTGTGTGGAAGGGCCCTAAGTCATTAGCGCTGATTTAGGAAATCCCATTCCTTCTGTAAGACCCTTCCACTCCGTCCTATATCCCAGAATATCGAGGCAGAAAATCCCATAATACCTGCTTTGAACTGGGTTATCTAAGTCCACACTGCCGTATATTTCAGCTCAAAGCAGATATTGTGGGATTTTCTGCCTCAATATTCTGGGATATAGGGCTGCGTGGAAGGACCCTAGGTAGCATGTTTGAAATGAATAGCAAAAGAAAAATAGGACAGAAAATTACCTCTGAAACTTGCCTTCTCAATTTTTGTGTGTGTCATAAGCATTGCATAAATAAATTAGTTTAAAACTGATAAAATATAAGGAGCACAAGTAGCTAGACAATTTTAGTTCAAAAATGGGCAACAGCGGGCCCTTCCACACAGCCCTATATCTCAAAATATCAAGGCAGAAAACCCCACAAAATCTTATTTGAACTAGATTATCTGAGTCCACACTCAGATAATGTGGGATTTTCTGCCTTGATATTCTGGGATATAGGGCTGTGTGGAAGAGCACAGTGTCCCCATTGTCTGTAGCTTAAAACAGGTCTTCCTCTGTGCATGAGGCAGGGCATTGTGGGCAAGCATACAGATGCTGAGTTTAAGCTTTGGATCGTATAACAATTTTTTAATTGTTTCAACTTTATAATATCTTGATTACACTTTTGGAGTTTCCATTGGTGCTCATATTTATACACAATTAATTTCCATGTAACATATCCCAATACCCTCTCTTTTTATACCTCCTTCTCTTTTAAAAAGAGGGGGAGAAATAGGGGGGAGCAGACATGTAGCCGGGGGGGGGGGGGGCTTGAGGGGCTTCAGCCCCCCCCCCAAATTCTCAGGGTGGTCCACGAGAAGGCCTTACTGGTACATTATTTAAACTGTTATGTTTATTCATATCATGATCTGATCACCATGCTCAATATATCCCATATGCATGGGGGTATTGGGATAACGATACAAAAGGTTTGCTAGGGTAGATCCTCTCTCACTCAGACTCAGCCCCCCCCCCCCCGGATCAAAATCCTGGCTACGGGCCTTGGGGGGAGCAAGATAGGTGAACTCTGTCTATCCTGATCTACTCACAAAGAAAGCTAATATCATATGCTTCACCCTCTAGACCTCTCTTTACTAACTCTTTTCTCATATTATAACAAGAAAAAAATTAATTTATTCTTCAAAACTCAGAATTGGCAAACCCTTCTCTTCTTCATGCAAAAAGTGAACAAAAGGTTTCCAGTCTTTGAAAAAAAAAGTCTTCAATGTCCCGTCTTTTAGTAGGCATGTTAATTTGTCCATTTCAGATTGGATCTTAAATCTGTAGCATTCACTGACTCTTGTCTTCTCAATAAGATTTAAGATCAAAATTTACAGATTTAAGATCAAAATTTCTCATTATGGCAGAAATTGAGTCGCCTAAGGGCTGAGAACAGGGGTATACAAATAAAGCAAATAAATAAATAAATAAATTGTAACCAAAACACTTTACGAATTTTCAGAAATCTTCTTCTGCATACTTATTTCCTGTTGTTATAGCTGATTTTTGTGTTAAACTCAAGAATAGCAACAGAAAAAGTCCTTCCTAATCCTAATGAGAATACTAGGGGGAGCTCTAACCAAACAAAAAACATTTTTTAAAAGAAATATAACAGCCCTAGCATTAAAGGTTTGTCCCTGTTTCGTGAGATTCTTGTGTGGAGAAACCCCCCTAAATCAGCAATATTTCTGTAGAACTTCTGCTTGATCCTGCCTGAGATGCAGCAGTGAATATTATTATAGCAGGTAGAGAATGCCTTTCCTATGCCATTGAATAACTATTTCAGATATTTCGGATTATCCGGGTTCTACAATATGGGTTCACAATTTCAAGGTGACTGCCAAGGGATTAGGGCAGCCAGAAGCCTTAACTCCCGAAACCTTTTATTTGTAGTTTATATAGAATTACAAGTATGCTTTAATCTTGAATACATGCTTTTCCATTTATTGTTCAACATCCTGTGCCTTGCTCCTATAGTCTCTGCTGGATGCAAGATGCTGTTCTGCCTTCATGTTAACGCATGGTACATCTACACTGTTAGATTCACTGTCAGTGGTATGGAATCATAGAAATCATAAAAAAAAATATAGAATTATAGAGTTGGAAGAGACCTTGTGGGCCATCCAGTCCAACCTGCTGCCAAGAAGCAGGAAAATGCATCCAAAGCAACCCCAACAGATGGCCATCCAGCTCTGTTTAAAAGCCTCCAAAGAAGGAGTTCCCACCACACTTTGGGGCAGAGAGTTCCACTGCTGAACAGCACTAACAGCTAGAAAGATCTTCCTAATGTTTAAGTGGAATCTCCCTTCCTGTAGTTTGAAGCCTTTGTTCCACGTCCTAGTGTCCAGGACTATGGTGTCCTAGTCTCCAGGGCAGAAAACAAGCTTGCTCCCTCCTCTCTATGACTGCCCCTCATATTTATTTATGGCCATCCTGTCTCCACTCAGCCTTCTCTTCAGCAGTCTAAACATGCCCAGCTCTTTAACCCGCCTCATAGGGAGTTGTGGGAGTGGTGGGAATTATGGGAGTTATAGTTTTACAAGGTACTAAGCTTTATCTGCCAGGAGTGCCTCCTTGATTCCAAAGCATTGAACCTGGACAGTTAAAACAGTGTCAAGCTGCATTAATTCTACTCTATTTTTACCCTCCCTAGCAGTCTGCTGCCACTCACTCCTATTTCACTGCCTAATGCTTCACTGTCCTTTCCACTAACACTTTAGTTACTCTTCTTCCCCATCCTTGTCAATCAGGTAGTGGGAAATAATTGTTTTCTCAAGCAATGTCCTTTACGGCAAACCACTTGCCTTTCCTTATGGCTACTTGAAGATGGCAGGAGTATATGCCAGAGCAAAGTTTTCAAAAGAAAAAAAGACATGTGATGACAGGAGACAATGCTGGCATACATGCACCTTTTCTTGCTACTATTATTCCCCAGTATCTGCTAATTTTGTCCTGGTCTTGTCCTCCAAAGTCCTAATCTAATAGGCATCCTCCACTGCTGTATTGTTTTCTATGTTTGTACT